AGATCTTCAAGCTCCTTTATGCGCTCAGACTTTGCAGCGTCGAACGTGTCCGGTTGCATTTCACGCTCTTCGTCGTCGAAGGCTTTGACTTGGGCACGCAGGAAGTCGACTTCCTTGGTTGCGAGAGCCTTCTGTCGTTCGAGACGCGCTCGCACCTTTGCGTCGGCACTGTTCGTCGCGGCGGTGTTTCCGGCGGCCTTGAGTTGCTGAATTTCCGCTTGCAGTTTGGCTTTCTCCTCTTCGAGTGCTTGTATGGTAGCGTCCTTGACAGTGAGTTCAGGCTTGATCTCACCCAACCTGTTGAGAAGATCGGTTCGCTCTATGCGCTCTTGGATGAAGGCTCGCGCGAGGTCTTGGGGTGTCTCGAAGAGTACTTCGCCATGAATTTCTGCTTCGGCCTCAAGATACGACGTCCAGGAGTCGCGCTCTTCTTCCAAGACCTGCTTCCTCAGCTCTGCCTCTCCCAACTGCCGTTCTAAGTCATCCATCATGCGCAGCTTTGTCTGCAGCGACCTCTTCTCCTCCTCGACAACCTCAATCGCCTTATGTTGCTTCCGGTACTGCTTGAGCTCCGTATTCTGCTCCCTCGTCAGGGTCTCCAGCTTCTTGATGTGCGCGACCTGATCGGAGAGCTCCCGCTTGATAACAGCCAGTGTTTCGGTATCTCCTGTAATGGCCTTCAGTCGCAAGACCTCAGCCTCCATCTGACCGACTTCCTCCTCCTTCTGTGCAAGCTTCTTCTGCGACGTTTGTAGAGCATTGACCTTGGCTTGTAGATCTGCGTGCATCTCCTCCACACTCTCCTTCAGCGCCTTGTGCTCTGTTTGTAGAGTGTTGTATCTGTGCTCGTTCTGACGTTGCGACGTCGACAACTCCTCCTTGACCTCGTCGTATTCCTCTTGTAGCGATTGCGCCCTCTCTTGACTCTCCCGCAATCGCCGTTCCAGCGCTTGCCGCTCGTTCGCAGCCTTCGTCTGTGCCTCGGACATCTCCTTGGTCAGCGCATCGTACTTCTTCGCGGTCATGCTATTCGACGCCTCGACCTGCTGGGCTTTGCGAAAGTCGGCATCGGCGCGGTTCTGGGCGTCGCGGAGTTCTTGCGCATGCTCCAGCTTCATCATCTCCTTTTCTTGTTTCGCGGTTTCGAGCTCATATCGCACTGTGTTAAGTTGGGCGCGGAGGTCTTCATTGATCGGATCAGAAGGCACAACCGTGTGCGGCGCATTCTGGGAGGCTCGTAATGTGGCTCGAAAGGTTTCGCGCAGAGGTTCTCGTTTGGCAGTCGCAGGCGCGGGTGTTGGCTCCTCCTCCTCGCCGGTGAGGAAGTTGAAGGAGGGCTGGGTCGTGTTGCGCACCGCCATGGCAGGAGCGACTCCGTGTCGGTTTGTTTGTTGTGCCGGGGCGGGTAAGGAGCGTATATAGTCGTGGTTCAGATGTGGAGGCAAAGACTATGCCATTACTATTGGCGAGGGGTGTTCTTTCCTCGCGACACGGCGCAAATTCGAGGCGAGTGGTGGGTAATTGGTCGTTCTTGTTGTCGCAAAGCACCGTGTCTGGGGTTCACGGCGCCGTTCGGGCAAGGCCGCCTCAGGTCTAGCGCGTGAGCCCTGGAAGTGCGTCTGGCGCGCAAGCACGTGGCTTTCACTCTACGCAGGTCACGTCATAACTCAAGCACGCTGCAATAAGAATCAAGTCTTTGTTCTGGATTCAAGGCTATTAATGATAAAACTGCGGCTGCATCGTGAGTTGCAGAGTTAACTACTTCCTACTCCTGTATATTTGTCCATGCTTTCAAAAAGACGTCGCTTTCGCCATTTCTCCAGCCCCACGCGACACAGTAATGCCGAAGCAGCATTTCCAGCTCCTCCAGCTCGTCTAGGAATTCCAAGCCAGCGATGCGCTCCTTCTCCTCTTCGTCGATCCACTTTCGCCAAATAGTACTTGTGTCCGCGACCTTCGCCCCGTTCGTCAAGCCATAGCCCTGAAGGCGTGCACGTTGGTCGCCCAACTCAGGATACGCTATCAATGTATGAAGGTGAATGTTGCGGGACTGGAGGTTCGAGATCATGGTGCGACCAAAAGCATCTTGGGGCAGGATGGGCTCGTAGAGAATGAGAGACGCAGGCGTCGCGGGTTGTAGGTAGTGTGTGAGCAGTGATGACACTATTGATTTCACTGTCGAGGGCTGCAGGTAGACCAGGCACATCTCAGACAGGACCAACGTAGGTATGCTCGGATCCAGGTTCGGAATCTGAGGGAGGGGCTTCTCGTCCGACGGGTCGGCCAGAGTACGTAGGTCGAGCGCATGGATGTTGTACGTGTCTGAGTGGTAGGAGGCTGAAGTTGACGGTATGTGCAGTAGCTTTCGGTAAAGCAGCGGCTGTCTCTGTATGGTGGCTATCTTGGCGAGCGTATTCGAAGGGAAGTCAATTTCGTGATATACGAGGCGCGTCTGAGGGTATAGGTCGAGGAGACGGAAGAATCGTGTGTCGGTGCCGGCACCCAGAGAGATGATCTGCTTCGCCGATGACGGGTAGGTGACGAGGAACTTAGCGACGAGAAGGTCGATGGCCGAGGTGCGGACGTAAGTGCCTCTGTTAAGTAACGGCAGCTTCCTCGTCGTCTGTTGTGTCGCGAACAGCTTCGCGTATGGGTCGTGAAGATAACCTAGCTCTACACAGCTCACCCTGCTCCCCGCCGCATCTTGATCAGTCCCCTTGACGGCATCGTCGAGAACTTGGGCCCTTGTTTCACTTGAACCCCCAAGACCACCTCTTCCACGTCCTCTGCCTCTTGATGCTCCGCCGCGGCCTGGTCCGAGAAGAGTTCTTAGGTTGGGGATTTCGTTTGAGGAGGCCATGTCCAAGTTCGAGATGGGCGGAAGTGGTGGGGTTCCAAGCTCCAGGTCCGCGCGCTAGGGCTGCACGCCAAGCCTCTCGCCCGGCCGGCCTTTGGCACTTCTGGAGATTTCTTTGACGCGCCCGTCTTCACTCACCTGTTGCGCCGACACCACCGCCCGACACTCGTTCCCCCGCATCAACGTCACCGACCGCAAGCATGGAAGGCGAAAAGTACAGCGCGTCTCTGATTCGCCTGTGGAGGGTCTGGCGGACAACCAAGGAGATGATGAACGACCGGGTGCGTTGCGCATGCGCTTGCGCTTTGGGCGACAATGGACTGCGCGCTGACTCTATCAAAGGGCTACATGATTGTCGAAGATGACATGACCATGTCACTTGAGGAGTTCTCAAGGAAATATGCGCGCGAAGACGGAGAGCCTGAGTATGCGCCAACTACAGCCATGTCTAGGCCGCAGTACTGACCCTAACCAGCCGTTCGCGCCTCAACTTCTCCTGCCAGCCCTCCGAAGACATGCTCCGAAGGTATACCGATGCCCCGACCAAGAAGAACCCAGAGCCCCAGCCCAACATCGGCACCATCTGGATCGAGTTCAACGCCGACGAGAACGTTGGAATGAAGCAACTGCGCGACTACATGTCCCATCTTGTCAACGGCTCCTTCCACTCCGGCATCATGGTCACCGTAAAGCCCATGACGGGTATGGCCCTTCGACTCCTCCGCGGCGCAACAAGCATCACCGACGGTCCCAAGGGCGGTGTAGAGGTCTTTGTCGAGCAAGATTTGCTGGTCAACATCACAAAGCACGAATTGGTACCCAAGCACGTCCTGCTGAGTGACGAGGAGAAGCAGCAGCTACTCCAGCGATACCGTCTGAAGCAGACACAGCTCCCCAGAATCCAGTCCACGGACCCAGTCGCCAAATATCTCGGCCTGAGGAGAGGTTCCGTCGTCAAGATTATTCGAAAGTCAGAAACAGCCGGACGATACGCCAGTTACCGATGGGTCATATAAGCGTTCATGCCGAAGGGTAGATTGCGAGAGAGAAACGTTCGAGTACAGCGTGCTGTTCAAGCGAAAGCGCATGCGTAATACCTCCAGCCGCGTCAAGGCCTTCAGATTGGAGTAGGCACCAAGACCGGTGTAGCATTGGGCGAGGCGTTTGGCGATGGAAAAGGGTCTGGTTTTTGACACCATTTTTGTACTATCTGAGAAGCAGGAAGGAAAGCCAGAGACGAACAAATCAAAGTCTCAAGTCTCCATTGCCATAACGTGCCATGCTCTGGTGCAGAACCCTTTGTCCATCCCTCACACCAATGAGACAGGGTTAACTACGCCACAGCCATCCGCGTCACCATTTGACTTGTTTCCATACCACGCCGCATCCACACATACCCGATACCCTTAGTCCCCCTCCTACCCGCTCCTATTCCCAGCCCAACCTTCCCTTCCAAGTAACTCTGTCTGAAAACCATCGAAGTCTGTGACCCAGCATTACCCTCATCGGTGAACTAGTCCCATGGACTATTCAAAGCTGCATCATCCTATTCCGGTAGCTGCTAGTTGCAGACACGGGTAGCGCGGCCGCTTGGGTAGCTTTTGTACCGTTCAAGTCACCGTTCAGAGGACGAGTGGAGAGCTGACTTGGCTTGGCCCGGGATACGGGAGCCTATGTGTACGGAGTTTGTTTACCGGTGAGCGTGGGGTTTGGTGGTGGTGTTGGTTCTGCTTACGATCAGCAGGGCGGGCTGAGGCTGATGGGCTGATGGTACCAGGTTAGACGAATACCGCTAACCTTGCATGCCGCTCGCCGGATTGGGAACATGGTAGTTTTACGGTCGTGGTAGCGCTGATCGTTATTACATCACCATAGCTGCTTAAACGTAGGTGCAGTAAATATGACAGAATCACAAGGATCGATCCACAATGCCTGCGACTCCGGATGATATGCATTGGGCGCTGGAAATGCGTCTTGGGGGTATCATGCCAACTACACTGTACGCCCTGCCGATGCAAAAAAACTCTATGCGTACATGGTACAAACACTGTGGTGGGGTATAATAGGGAAGCTGTTTGTAAAGAAGACATGAAATGAAGTTGAAACATCGCTGCAAACAATATTCCGCTGTACACATGCCTCCTCAAGGCTCATCATCCTCCTGCTCGAACGTCTCGGAAAAGTTGATCAGGGAGGTGAATTGCTCCGTCGTCTCCTTAATCTCCATCGTTCTTCGCTTGGCTTCATCTGCTAGCCAGCTAAGCGGCACCAGTATCATCTCGCCCCTGTTATTCTTGACAAGCTTCGTCCTTTCTTTCTTTGTAGCCGATGGCTCTGGTAACTTGACCGCGGCCCCCATGGTAGTGACCGCGTCACTGCGTCTATGCCGGTGTTCGAGGATATCGACGTCGATCGTACGGTTTGCGATGACATGATAGATGTGAACCTTCTTCTGCTGACCATAACGACGGCTTCGAGCGATAGCTTGTGCCATGGCTGAGTCGTAGTGATATTGTGTTTTTGCCAAGAAGGGTGAAACAAAGATGACATGGTTGGCCACTGTGAGATTGCTGTAGATGGTCAGTACAATGGTGCTTTGTATGGAGACAAGAGGGACTTACACGCCAGCGGCAGACTCGCTTCCCAGATTGAGTATGATCAGCTTTTTCCTCTTTTTCACATCTGTGTTCGTCTTGAAGTCCTCCATAAGCTGCGCTGCTGATGCCTTATCTCCGCTTTGGCCTGGGGAGTGGTAGGCGATCTCATAGCGGTCAAATACAGTTTCCAAAATACTGATGATCTGTTGGTTTGGCGCGAACACGATGCCTTGATCACCGTCTGGAAGGGCTAAGATTAGCTGAGCGATGGCCTGAAGCTTATTGCCAAACTCCGTCTCCTCATTCTGGTCTTCGCCGGAGCCCAGATCAGCCATTCGGATCAGGCTACTCTCATTCGCACGAGAGTTGCAACCAGGGTGAATGCAGGCCTCATCGTCAGTTCGTGATTCGAGACACTCTTTGCATGCAGTATGCCCGCAGTGCGGTATCATGAAGAGCGATTGGATGTCAGCTATGGTATTGCAGTCCGGTGAACTGCAGCGAATGGGCTCCTCATCGCGCTTTGCAAGCATTGAATGTTCGCGGATAGATACGATGAAACGCCTTGACCTTGTCCTATGAGCAAGTTCGACGGCAGTATCTCGGAGCTGTGATAGTTCCTGTTTGATCAATCGCTCACGCTTATCTTTAGACAAGCCTGCGTCATCAGCAAGCCCTGACTTTGGTGTCTTTTGTGCTTGTTCGATCAAGCCGCGAACAATCTGACTGGACTCATCGTCTCCGAGCCAATTGGACTGTGTGATATCCGTCTGGAAATGGCCATACAGGTCTTTGATGGCCGGCTCACTGTTCTTAGACTTTTTCATTAAGCCCTCGAATGTTGACAGTATTCTCAACAGTTCCTTCTTCGTGCTGTGTAGTTGTTGCGACCTCTTATCAGCCAAGGATTCGAGCGCAGATTTGCCTTCCTCAGTCTCGAAGAGCAATGCACACCTGAGTAGCGCTTCTTCAGCACTTGCGGAATTCTCGAGACTATCGTTCAGCCTAATACTCCTGTCCGACCCAGACTTTTTGTTGAGCTTTTTGATCTGCATCTTCTGGGAGATTAGGTGTTGAGTGAGCTCTAAGTAGACAGCGTGGTGGGCAGCACCCAGATTCACCGGTAAAAGCTCCTCGGTGCAGGCGATGTGCTGAAGCTCCGGCTCATTCTGTCTCACGAAGTCATTGAGGAAGTCCTGTGCCCGTTCATGTCTCGCCCTATGCCACTGTCTAGACATAACTTCTGTTTGTGACAAGAAACTTTCAACGTCGGTCTGGTCAAGTTTCGACATCTTCTCCGCTGATGTCACGACCGTGCCGTCGCCACAGAAGTGCCGACCAAGCTTGACTCCGAGGAAGGATGCCAGCTGATTGACATCGGAGAAGTTGGATAAGGCTGGCGTTCCAGACAATACCCAGCGTCTATGCGCAGCAACTTGTTTGATGCTCGTGGCCACGAAGTTGTTTCTGATCTGGTTGGTGTCATAGAGATAGTGATATTCGTCAACAATGATTCTGTTGAACCGGAAAAGATGAAGTAATGGCACTAGGTGTGACGAGCTCTCTGATCCCAATGTGGCCTTTGCTTTCGCCTTTGCTTTCGCCTTTGCTTTGGCTTTTTTCGAGGAACCTGGAGTTGACGACATGGCCCCAAAAGAAAGATACGCGCTACCATGTCGGATGCTGATCGGTAATGAGGCCTGGAACTCGGGTTGCTGAAGTCGTTCATCCAGAAGTTTCTTCGTCCGTCGTTGGAAGTCCTTGTAGTCATGACGCTGGTGGTACACAGCCAGCTGATTTGAAATCTCGCTAACGGCTCTATCCAACCAGCAACTGAACGCACGACGACTGGTCATTGTAGGTTCGGGTAATGCGGTGAATCTAGCTAGGTCTGCGACATAGGCTGCCTCGGCGAGCAACGTCCATGAGACTATGATGACTTTGCTTTGCTGGAGTTTTTCGATGGTGAGGTCTTTCAACTGACTGTAGCTCTGCACGACGAGAATCCTGTAATCCTCATATGTCTTTGAGCCTAAAAACTTCTCGAGCTCTGTGTTCCACTGCTCCGTGATGTGGGGAGGAGAAACGATCAAAGTTGCACCTGAATCCAGAAGTTGAGGCTGCTTAGCCGCTAGCGGTCGATTGCGCTGGATGATCTTCTCCATTGTGAACTGTTCGAACTCGCTCTGAATGAGCCCGATACTCGTGACAGTTTTGCCGAAAGACGGGTGATCGGCGAGCACACCACCACGAACAACTTGCTCTGTCTCTGCCCGAGCTTCTGCTCTCCATCCTAGACTTGAGTGCACCGACTCTTCTGTCTCCGTAATCTTTATCGTTTTGCCTAGCTCTTGCTTTGCCATCCATGACACAGACCTCATCTGCGCACCTCGTAGGTACTCTGGCGGCTTTATTACGGAGTCTTGAACGTCGTTCGCGTTGCTTTGCAGTTGGAACTTCGGAAAGGGCTGTGACGGTAGATCAGCATGATCCGTTGTCAGCCTCCAGAAAGTAGTCGGAGAGACGCTCTTGGGGAATCTCCCTTGAGCGCGGTGCGTCAACGACAGGATATCGAGACCGACCCGAATTCGTGTTCCGGATGGATCTCTAAAAGCTTCCAATTGGACTATTTCAGGACGCTGCTTAATGGCGCGCTCGAACGTGGCAGCAGCTTGACGGTCCTCGTATGCAGTCGCTACTCCTTTTTCGTTGATGCTCCAGTGAATCTCCGGATAGAGTGGTGCACAAGGACATTTTCCAGACCAATCTGAGTGCACTGGCTGCCAGGATGAGCATGCTGGCAGTGTTTTAGCGCTCTCTAGAGCCCAAGAATAGTCTGCGAAAGTTTGGATTGGAACTTCGTCTTGAAGAAGGACATCTAGACAAGTGAGCGCCTTGGAGCAATCTGGCAGGGCGTTGTCAATCATGCATCCTTCGTCAAGGAACCTCACGTCTAGAGGAACACTTGCTGGTACAAGCGGCATATCAGCAGGAGCATGCACGTCAGGAATCGTGACGAGCATGGTCTGCACACGTCCGTCCTCTACATTCCAAGGCCGCCAAGATGAATGCACACGAGCCAATGTGACACGGCTGTCTCCATAATGCTTGCGGGTATGGTCCAGGCTAAAGACGAAGCTGTCATGATTCGATCGACCGATAGGGTTAGGATCGAGGAACAAGTACATGGTATCCACCTCCGTCGACCTCTTGTAGAGGCTAGTCGACGCAGTTCCACAATGCGGTTGATGCTCGTAATCGCCGCTGACGGCCGCCAGCTCTGGACTATCGCCCCGGATGTTGATCGTCATGGGTACAGTCTCTTCTTTGTAGTCCAAAAGACCGAGCCGACTCCGCCATGAGCTGAACCTATCGATCGAGCCGCTCACATCAAGACTGTGATTGCTGATGCAGGGCATGCGTACTTTCCACTCAACACTGAAAAGAGTGTCTGCAACATTGCTTTGTGCGATCGGATTGCGAAGGAAGTCGCGCAAGGGACTATTGCCGGGGAGTTCTGATGGGCATTTGAGGAAAAGTGACCATTGTATGTCAAAGCCGACTTTCAGCTCGATTGTGGCCTGAGGCGAGCTGTAGGTGATCTTCCACTCCTTGTACTCCCTGGAAAACTCGTCGATGCAGAAATGCTGGGAGCCTAAATGCGCTTCCGACACTGTAGTCAGATATTGATCCAAGATTGCATCTTCTGCGCCCAGTTCGGAAGCGAGATGGTGTATGTCCGGAAAAGCCTTGAACTTCAACCGTGGAGGGAGTTTAGGCCTCCATCGTCTGATGAATTCGTCGGGTTGCAGCTTTCTCTGTTGGGTCGACAGTGTTTCCTTGTAGAAGTGCTTGGGGTTGCCGGCACAGGATGCGCAAGCTGAATGTCCACATGCCGAGCAGATATGAATCGCGGTCTTGGTGATAACCTGTTTGCCTTCGCAGTTGCACATACGCGCACTTAACTTTGCTTCGTCCTTAAACGCGGCCAGATCAAGATCTTCGTAAATGCTTGGTTCCAGAATGGTAGGATTCAAGATGTCCGGCCGAGCGATCATTTTGCTGGTGAGCGACGAATCCTGTGCCTTGTCAGGTGTTGCTACGTTGTTGAAGCGAAAGGCTCTAGATCCGATGATAAGAGCAGAGATGAGAGAAGCCCCGATCACTGTAGTTGACATGGCATTACCAGCTAGGTTCTGTAGGTCCTTCTGGGTTTCGTTGGCGAATAGCAGTCTATCGAGGGGCATCCCCTGAAGGATCAAAAGTTGGCTACCGTTGAGAGCATGTTGACGATTGCTCGCAAAGTCTAGGCCGCTTGGCGTCAGGCATGGCGCGATACCTAAGCCAGCTTTGAATCGATCGACGTTCTGAGTAACATCCCAGAGCGCCATCTTGTAAAGCGAGTCACAGCCTTTGATGGCAGCATACTCTAGGTGGGCAATGTCAATGGCGTCATGCACTCTCGAGGACTGCGAGCTGTAGAATTTTCGATCTGCGAAATCGGGAGGCCTATGTCACCATTAGTTTAAGTAGCTAAGTGAGAGATGGGTCAGGTAGGCTTACATGACCGTGCCGTTGTCGCTTCGTCGGCTGACGGGGCTCAGTATCCCCAGTCTCTTATCAGATCGAATGTGGTCGTTCCGGAGCTTACACAGAGCCCAGTCCGGTTCGTTTTTCAATATGCTGAAGCCACTCGACTCTTTCAACGACTCCGGAAGGAAAGCTTCGTAAGGGCTGCTGCACTGTCTCTCTAGTTTGCGCATCAGTTCCTTCCACTGGCTTGTGGCGCTCTTCACATCTGGACCGAAGTGTGAACTCTCTACCGCGACCATGTACATCCGTTCTCTCGTCTGGGGTAGATAGAAGTTTTTCGTGTCGCAGTAGGTCCATTGAGCTTCATAGCCGATCTTTGCCCACCGTTCTACAACATCATCCCAGGTGTTCTTCTTGGCTTTCACGTTTTCCAACAGTACCAGGGTGGGGCGAAAGCGATCCGCATAAGTGTAGATCGCTCGCCATGTGTCGCCTGATTCGCCATCGTCGTCGATAGACTTTCCCTTGTTGTTCATACGGGAGAGGTCTTTGCAGACGAAGCCGGCAATAAGGATGTCGATGCCCTCGGGAATGTCTGTTTCTGCGCCGTATGCTGTTACTGCTGTCGTTGCGCCCTCACGAAGGAAGTCACGGACGTCTCGAAACAGCTTCTGTGGGACGAAGTTTCTTTCAATGTATCCTTGCTTGAAGACCTCGATTTCGGCTGAGAACTCTTGCTGGATGTGAATCGGAGATCTCCCCATTGTTGTTAGTGCTAAAGAAAATATTAGCTCACGACCAATGTAGGCGTTAATGCGACTGACCTTTCGAGATCTCATCCAAGGCTAACAAAGGAGATTCAGTGCCGGAGCACATCGTAGCGACCCTGATCGGTCGTCCTCCCAAGCTCTCCAAGGCCTTACAAAGGCCAAGTTCTACGGCTTTGGCAGTCATGTCAGACATGCACTCTTGAATGCTAGCCAGAGGCGGGAGACTGAGATCGATGCCTTTTCCAGTCCGAGACGATTCTCCAGTCTTGATCTTTTTGCGTGGGTTCGACCTAGCTTGGTCGTCCTCAACAGGGCCAGCATCTTCATCCGACAAAAGGTCCAACGATTCCGCGTCACTCGTACTTGAGGCTTCCTCATCAGCAGATGCAGGCTCGATGTCCGCCTCGCTTTCTTCTTCTTCGTCCGATGTGGGAACATTGTAAATGTCCGATACGTCCTCGTCCTCGTCTTCGTCTTTCGTCGCAAACTCCATCTCTTGGTCCGACATATCGTCAAAGTGAGCCGGAACGTAGGATACCTTCTTTCGAGCCCTACTTGAGCGTCTACTGAGACCGGGGTTCAATGTGTCGATGTCTTGCCGCTGACTTGAGTCGTCGTCCTCCATGGGAATATCTTCATTATCAGATGCCATCGCGGAATTGAGATCTTCACCTAAGCCAAGATCGTTCGAAGTTACGGGGGAAGGTAGCGTATCGTCGCCATTATGTAGTTCTTTATTTGTGTCCGCAGTGTTTGCGTCAACAGGGTTTGCCGGTTTCCCCGTGCTTTGGAGCAAACTCGCCCTGGATGGGCTTGACGTCGGGCTAGCCACCTGTGTATGCTGATCGGGTGTACTGCTCGGTAAGACCTTTCTGCATTTAGATCTACATGTGCCGTTGCGCGTTGTGTTGCGATCGAATCCGTCACTTGAAGCCTCCATAGTGAGCTGTGCGTCATTGCTGGTATGGTGTACCTCTCTACGTCGAGTTCTTCGGCCTCTGCTGGACTGCTCCTGTGCAGTAGCTTCAGACTGCCGGGCAATCTTGGTACTTGCACCTACTTCCTCAGGCTTGGGCTTCTTCTTCTCGGGTAGCTTGCGACATAGATGCATCGTTTTATTGCGTATACAAGTATCGCAAGGATTATTCCCGTCACACTGCTTGAAGCCTCGTATAGTGCATCGTGGACAACGTGCCGCTATCGCTGCCGATTCTTCGGGTGTGGGCAATCGACAGTTCTTCTTCTTATCCCGTATACAACGTGTGCATAGGTCTGCTCCTTCTTCTGTGTGACATTCGTAAGCCGCGTTGCCTCCACGGGTGAGGCAGAAATAACAACAGTCTAGAGGTATGACCTGGTCGGCATCGTCGGTCGCTTGAGGTTTTATCGCGGTATTGGTAGGGATAGAGGGTGTATCGACTGCAATTGGTTAGCTCTTGAGGGACAGCAAGTGGTGACGATAAGGTGAACGGCATACCATGGACATGCTGAGCCGTGTGCGCGCGGCGAGCGCGATTGCCTCGTGTCTGTGTCTCGGCCAATGGAGTGCGCTCAGTACTCTCTCTGCTGGTAGTGAGTGGCCGTGGTGCAACATGAATAATATCATCGTCGTACTCAGACCCGCTGTGTGCAGGTGACACTTGGGTGACGCGCTTCCGCTTACGCGAATTGTTTTGCGCCATGGTGAGAATATTTCGATGCAAGACACAAAATTGAGTATCGGCACAGCCGTTAATCTAGCGATAGAAGAATGACATGGCGCAGCATGCTCATGGCATGCGATCGGCGTGGTGGATGCAATAATGTGTATGGAGTTCATGCGGCATGCAGGCACGTAGCGCGACGACGCGTCGCGCTAGTGAAGCGAAAGCACGTGGGGCCATCTTGTCACGGCATGTACCCCGCAGTCCGTCTCTTGCTGCTGAATTGTAAGGCTTGGTGAAGTTGCAAAGAGGAACAGCATCTCTTGAATAGGTCACAGATGAAATGAGCGTCAGAGGACTGGTGTGAGACCAGTTGAGGCATGCATAGCCGAGGCGGATAGACTACTCTGAGAGGGAAGGCGGCGATCTACGCAGCGAGGTCGGACAACATTCAGCTCACGTATACCAGGTACCCACCCGTGGCTTGGTACTCGTATTACTCTCACCGCAACACTTGAGGGAGATATACAAAGTCTTTGCACTGCCCTGTATTCAGAACGATTAATACCAAACGTCATGTCTAATCCGGCGGTCAACACATTTGAGGACCTCACTGGTGTCTCGACTTCCTCCTTCAGCAATCCCTATGATGCATTGATAGCGGCATGTGAAGATGATCCGGTAAGATACTTTGATATCTGACCTTTGAATGTACTTAGCAAACACCGCAGGTACGAATTCAAGAAAAGTACCAGCTGCATCGGACTACGAGGAATGCGCAGCAAAAGGCGAAGATGCTCGATACGAGCTTCCAGGGCGTCAACATAGACCCCATACTCTTGAGACTGGAAGACGCTACTGTCGAACCTGGATTCAAAGATCCCCGCAACTGTTTCGTAAGAATGCTGATGTACAACTTGCATCGATACGTGTACTTATCATGTGCAGGTATTCTGGGGCCGCCCTACAGAGCAAGTCAAGGATATGATCGCCCGAGTGCAGCAGGAACTGCGAACAGTAGCACCAAGTAGGCACAATATCATGGCTACGTATTGCAGTGCTAATGACAGCAGATCTATGGCTCATGCCCCGGGACAACCAGCACATTACAGTACTTGAGGTAACGCATTCGAAAACGGCACCAGAGATCCAGCAACTCGTCGATACTGTGCGAGATAAGATACCTATCATGACCGACTATACCCACGAGCATCGCACGCGCCTCATTAAGCCTCTTATCGGGTACGATGCCTCGGCGATAGCGTTGAGCTTTGTACCTGCAGCTGGCGAGGGACTGCACTCTGGCCGTACGCCAAAAGATGACAAGTTCACTTACCACCATCTTCGCCGGGATATGTTCTCTATGTGTCGCGATGCAGGTCTCCAAGTGGAATCGCGATACGTCGTACCGTCAAGCCATCTCACCATCGGCCGCTTCATCTATACCAAAGATCAGGAAGACGAAAACGGCTCGCTAGATCCTGAGAAGACGAAGGCTTTGATCGACAAGATCGAGGAGATCAACGCCTGGCTGCAGAAAGACTACTGGCCGGAATATAATGAAGGCAAGATACCTGCCGGTGGAGAGTTCAACGTGGGCCAGGAAAAAGGTTTGCATTGTGGGACGGGTCCCCTTTGGTATGGCGGAGGCGATGCAGTGCATCTTGGGAAGGGCTACTGAGCAGCGTGAGGTCTTTCGACAACATGTTGATACCCGCTTGATATTGGGAGGGCTTTTGTTGGGTCTACAGGTCGGAAGGTAGGTGCACAGCTCTCAGATGTGCGGGCCAGGTTTCGCGTCGCATTCTACCGGACGATAAAAGGTCTACATGGTAAACGCATACATTATCCTAGGGCCTGTGGCGTTGTTGAGATTGATCCGTGTGTATGCAGCAAAGGCCTCGAATCCTAGCCTTCCCCTAGTGGCGGCGGCGGGGATGACGTGTGGCGTGTGGCTTGGCCAAAGCGCGTTCCTGAAGCTCCCCACGCGGCATCACAGACCCTGACGGTCAGGTTGTATCACGCTTGTTTCTGCTTTGGCTTGCATAGTTTTTGGACTGGACAGATCATCGAGGAGTAGACATTACACCACGAACCGGCTAAAGCCATCCCTATACTGTAGCCTGGAGACTTTGCGACCCCGTGAGGCCCCCATTGCTGCTGCCTCCCAACGTCTTCACGAATACGTGGCATCCACCTTCTGCCACTTTACATACCCCAAAATCGATAGCGACAACCTCCCACCACCAAGATGTTCAACCGCGATCGACTTCCAGGCCTTCCTGGTAGCTCCCCTCGGCCACCGCCTCGTAACGACGGTTACGGACGCCCACCTCCGCAACAGCAACCACCACAAGGACCTCCGCGAGGCCAAGACACAAGAATGGCCGGTTATGATGACCGGCCGCAACAACAGCGCATGCCCGCAAGGGGACCACCAGGGGGCGGTGGAGGCGGCGGGCCTCCACGACAACTGCGGCCCATCAAGAGCCCTGGAGGCAACGCATACGCTTTTGGCAACATGTATGTACAAGTAGCGGCCATGTCGCCTGCAGGCCCCCTCAAAACCCACGATTATATAACGTCGGAATATTGGCTAACACCATGAAGCGTTGCAGTTTCCCCTCAAGACTTCCCACCAAACGCCGATGGCTCTGATATCTACATCATTGTCAACGGGAACTACGCACTTTCCGCACGACCAACACAAGGATGCAACCCGGGCGAGATCGGTCTCACTGATTTCCAGCGAACATGGGCCGGCATATCGCTTGGTCCCCAGGAGGTTGTGAACGCAGCACCATACGATCACTTCGCGTACAGCGGCGGAAAGTCATACTTGGGCGCAGTCGACGTGGAAGTCGGATTCGCGGGAAGGAAGACCACGGAGACACCTTACGACCAGGACGAGCTCGCTACCGTCTTCAAGAAGAGTTTCGAGAACCAAATCCTTTCGCCAGGCCAGCAGCTTGTGATCGATATCAAGAACATACCACTCAAGTTATCGATACGAACTGTGACGCTAGCGGATTTGTCTATGGAGAAAGATGAGGCCAACGCGCCTGCGATTACCGATCCTCGAGCTCGTGGCATCCTCACAAGACACACCCAGGTCGACTTCTTCAAGGATGCCAAGACAGATATCAAGTTAAAGGCGTCAGCGCGACGAGCAGCGGCAAACTCCATCATCCAGCCAGGCTTCAAGTTCGAAGACATGGGTATCGGTGGCTTGGATGCCGAATTCGGTGCCATCTTTCGACGAGCTTTCGCCTCCCGCATCTTCCCTCCGGGTATTCGGGAGAGGCTGGGTATCGATCACGTCCGCGGTATGCTCCTGTACGGACCTCCCGGCACGGGTAAAACCTTGATAGCTCGGCAGATCGGAAAGATGCTGAATGCCCGCGAGCCCAAGGTCATCAACGGCCCGGAGGTGTTGAACAAGTATGTCGGAGCGTCCGAAGAGAACATCCGAAAGATGTTTGCGGACGCAGAGAAAGAACAAAAGGAGAAGGGCGACGAAAGTGGTCTACATATCATCATCTTCGACGAGCTTGACGCTGTATGCAAGCAAAGAGGTTCTGGCGCGGGCAGTGGTACTGGCGTAGGCGACAGCGTTGTCAACCAGTTGCTGTCCAAGCTCGATGGTGTTGACCAGCTACACAACATTCTCCTCATCGGTATGACGAACCGAATGGACATGATTGACGAGGCTCTGCTGCGTCCCGGTCGTCTCGAAGTGCATCTGGAGATCTCGCTGCCCGATGAGTCCGGCCGAGCTCAGATTCTCAAGATTCACACAACAAAGATGCGCAAGAACAACGTCCTTGAGCAAGACGTCAGCGTCGAAGAGCTGGCTAAGCTTACCAAGAACTTCTCTGGAGCTGAACTCAACGGTTTGGTCAAGGCCGCCACATCGTACGCATTCGGGCGACATATCAAAGACGGCACTACTGTCAAAGCAGACGTGGAAGATATCAAGGTCATGCGACAAGACTTCTTGAGCGCACTCGACGACGTCAAGCCGCTCTTTGGTGTCGCTGAAGAGGAGCTCAGTAAGCGATTCCGTCACGGTATCATCCATTACTCTCCCTTCATCAGGGATATACTGGAGGATGGTCGTCTATACATCAACCAGGTCAGAAAACCGGAATCGAGTCCGCTCCTCTCGGTTGCGCTCCACGGTCCTCCAGGTTCCGGAAAGACAGCGCTGGCTGCGAAAATGGCAATCGATTCAGGTTACCCCTTCATCAAGCTGATCTCAGCTGAAGATATGATCGGCTACAGTGAAATGCAAAAGGTTCAACAGCTTGATAAGGTTTTCAGAGACGCATACAAGAGTCCGTTGAGCGTCATCGTTATCGATTCGATTGAGCTGTTGCTGGACTGGGTGCCGATTGGTCCTAGGTTCAGTAACACCGTTCTGGCTGCCCTGAAGGTCCTGCTTGCCAAGGAGCCACCAAAGGTATGTAGCCTCACTATCCCAATTTTACTGTGTGATTCATCTAACAACCCCAGGATCGTCGCCTACTAATTTTCGCGACAACGACCGAACGCTCGGTACTCACGCAGCTCGATCTCTTCGCCCGATTCGATGCCGAGATCGCCGTCCCGAACGTCAACACACAATCCGAGCTGGCAGCCGTCCTGCGGGAATCCGGTGCCTTCTCCGATTCCGACCAACAGCGCGCTATCAGTGAGATCCAGGAGATGACAGGTAACACCGAAATTGGGGTTGGCATCAAGAAGATCCTCACCGGTATCGAGACGGCGAAACAGGACCAGGATGTACCTGGCCGCTTCGCTCGGGTCATGTCTCGTGCTATTGCTGCGAACCGAGGGTCGATATAGACTGGGGTTCAGGTTTAACGAACTAGTTGTGAACTTGTTCGAGATATGTCAGATGGAGTATCTGTAGATCTCTGCCACGACCACTATGATTATGGCTTTTGTAGATGCATGAAGCAAACTCAATAGAGACGATATACCACATCACAGTTACAGTCAAATCCCCTTTCATGCCTCAATGTACTCGCGCTTTCTTACACCTAACGTTCAAACGATATCCGCCTCACTTCTACCCCAAACCCTGTTCAAGTACCATCATCCACGACACAACCTCGCTCACTTCTCGTTCGGAACCGTTTTCGGTACACAACATCTCTCTACATGTCCACCCACCTGCACAAAACCTGTCACTGTCAGACTCCATTCCAATAACCTCACATACATCTGACACCCCGTACTCCTGATCTCAACAACATCCCCGGAAGACACGGCATCGTCATGTCGTATCCCAGTAAGTCGAAACTACAAGTCCGTGGTTTCGGAGGTCGCCGCCGCTTTTTCCATTCCGTCCTTCCCGAGTCGCACTTGGGCCGCCCTGCTTCCGAGTGGGCGAGACCGAGCCGTTGGGTGAACGAGGATGAGGGGTGGGGTCGAGGTCTAGGTGGGGCAGAGGTGCACGACATATGGTGGCTTGCTTCTGTTGGGTTGGGATACTGGTCTTAGATAGACGGTGGTGGGGCGAGATCTGAAACTCTAAACCGGTGTTGTTTTGTGTAACGGAATGGGCTAGCTGAGATCGGTTGGGACGTTGGGATGGGTCTACTACAGTTCGGTTAAGTGATGGCTAGCAACTGGCTAGGTTTGAGATCACTGCTAGAGTGTTGGAATGTGGATCGGGCACGTGTACAGTCAGTAGGTCTACGAGTGCATCTTACAAATCCGCTGCAACGGTACACTTGAGCAAGATCAAAGTCACGGTTTCTTAACATTTCTCACGCTGAACCTGATTCAACAAGTGCATTTTGCATGCGTGCGAGTGGGTCACTCCGCTCGGAAGTGGATCGTTACATAAACACGTTAAGAAGATTGAAGAAGCTACCCCAAAGAGACACTCGTGACTGGCGAGCCGTCCGTCCGTCTGTCACATGATATGATGAGTTCATGACGCCGATCCAAAAGCAGTCCATTTCCCAAACCAAGGAGACGAAAACAGAATACGCAGCCTTGCTCAACACTTCATAGCCGCCGTTGAAGCCCCACCTTCCAGTCTTACATGTTCGACGAATAAGCAAGCGTACCAGCTTTCCAGCTCGCAGCTCGCCTCTGGCCCGTCGACCGTTGGCATGGACCACGCCAGCGCCGCACTATCCGAGTGCCTTGAGTCGATTGGCAGCTGCCATTCGCTGAGCGCTTGCATCGAACAGCGGGCCGGTCCGCGGTATATTTTTGGGAAAAGAAAAGCCGGCGTGTGGGTCGCTAAAGCAGCGACGCCGTCTACCGAGAGTGGATCGTGAACGACAGTTCGCGTTTCGACGTCTACCGTAAGCGGTTTGGAGACGTCCTGAGTTATGAAAGAAATAATGAAGTCGATGGTATCCCTAGAATCGTAAAGTGAACGTATGCCGCCCGTTTTTTGAGAAAATCCGAAAAGTTGTATGGTTGTATCATCCACAGGCCGTAAGGCGAATATTGTAAGAAGCGCAAAGAACTAGTAGTCAAGAGGTGCTGGGTATCGGCCTTGAGCGGTGCGGAACTGCTCAGGGTACTTTCGCGCCGCACGCTCGTTGAGGGAGCTGCCAATTTGTCAGTCATGCTGTTCAAGCTTAAAGTCGCGGTCAACTCACTCCACGCGTTTCTGTGTGTATTGCAAATCTCTCTGCACGTCTTTCGCGGCTT